CCTGAGAGGGCAATACCAACACCAATAAGGGAATTGATTGTGTCGCTGTAGAGAGGAACTATGACCAGGAAAAGGGAACATAAACAGTATACTATAGGGAAGAAGAGGTTAAGCTGTGGAGACAAAAAAGAAAATTCCAACATTTATTAAAAGATGCAGTAAATATTCTATTGTCAGGCTTTGCAGATTAAAATTAGACAAGTCAATAATAAAAATATAACTATTGACTATATGACTACTATGTACTGAATCTTTTGACTACCTACACTCAGTACAATTTGCCAGCTTCTGTGTATGCTGCTGAGAGCCTCTTATCTGGTACACACCTGAATAGCTGACCATTTTGTTGTTTCCAGGCCTTCACAAGCTCAGTTCATTTCCACATTAGTAAGAGGTCAATCTTTGAAAGAAATACTTTAAAACTGAGCAGCAATGGCTAGTTTTCCCTCTAACTTCAATTGCAAATTTTTAATTGTAAGTTTGATTGGGAGCTAACTCCGCTAGACTTTCAGTTACCGTGTTGATGCTACAGAACTAACGGACTGATGTACAACCATTTTGCCTGGGCACTTAACAAATATCATACCACAAATAAGGAAAGTTGCAATAGCCTCTTTATGGATTTATTTTTCACTAAAATGTTTTTCACTGGTGGTAGTAATGAGCCTTTGCAAGAGTCCAGGAGATGACATTTGAATACTAGCTGAAACTCCTGAGAGTTTATTGGTATAAATATTTCTTTTTCCTTATAAAAGTTAAAAATGTAAGTTGATGAAAACCAACTGCTACGTTTCAGAAAAGAAAAAAGTGCATGTGGAGTTGTGACATTGACTAAACTGGCAAATGCTGATAGGAATTAAACAATCATTATCTATAATCTGACTGTAATCCTTGCTTTAGTAGAGTCAATAGCAAAACTGCCAATAAGGCAAGATTTAATCTTCCACATATTTTGGGGGAGAGTTTGGAAATGAAGTGTGAATATGCTTCAGGAAAAATTGATCTGCTCTGGAAGACTGGAAGGTTTTCTAGCAGTAGGTGCTTAGGGTATTTTACTCCTTTGTTTGAACCATGTTTTTCATAATCAGGATGTTACCTTAAATGGGAAAAAAAAATGTGCTGGTAAAAATGGTGCAGGAGGTTAGGAGGGTGAGTGACAAGGAAGAAATATTTAGATAGTGTTAATTTGGATTTCTCATAATTTTTACTGCATCACTGCAGAGCTGCAATGCAGGTCATGGAGCCAACAGAGCGCAGGGAAACGTGAGCCAGCACGTGGTTTTGTGTGCCTGGGTGAAGCTGTGGGTTTCCATCCCTGCTTCCTGGACAATCACTGGATTAAAACTAGAAACAAATTTTAGGCCTGCTTTGTTTCTGCACAGTCTCCCTCTCCTAACTGATAGCCAGATGCTCTTCTGCAATCAATCATTAAACTTGCATTTCAGTGTCTCTGACCACTATGTAGCAGGAGGAAACACTCAAAATATATTTGATTATTTAAGCTTTTGGTCTTCTGCATGAGCAGAATTTTGGGCATTTTTGGGCTTTGGAAGGATTTTGCTAAATTTAAGTCATGTAACTTTGATCAGAGCGTTAACCTCTGTGGAGCTCCCATCACTAGCTCTACTGAGGTCCACTGTGAACAATATAAAAGGGGGTTGTTCCAGGATGGGCTAAGAACCCCAAGCATTTATTTATTCCTTATTTATTTTGAAATAAAGATAATTATAAAAGTTGAATGAAAGGAAAAAGAAATGGTAAATATCATTTCAACCTCACAGCAAAAGTACCAGAACAGATGTTCTTGTGGAAACTTGAATGAGTTTTGCTCCTTCATTTCTTATCTTGTATGTTGAAAGGATTTCTATGGCTGATAAATAGTGTATAACATAACTGCTAATGTTATGGTTATGGTATTAAGGATTACATAAACACGTGCAGTAGGTGGCTTTTAGGGCTTGTTTCCTCTCTTGTTTACTTACTTTAATAGGTCGCGGTCTATGTGGCTGAGTATATCTCAAATATATCAGTCCTGCAATAGACAGACCCACAAAGAGCCAGTAGTTGAAGCAGTAGTAATTAATGAGAAGGAAAACATCTTCCACAAGGAGATAAAGCAAAGTCATTAAGCCCTAGAGGTAATAAAAACAAAGCGTTTTTAATGTGAAAATAAAGACATGTCTTATAAAATAAAGAGCTACTAAAGTTATAAAACGCTCGTTTCCAACATATTTGTCTGTAGTTAGGAGATCAGGTCCTTGCAAGAAGAATGTGCTTAAAACTCTGAGAAATCTGCAAATATGCTGTGTGAAACATGCTGGTATCTCTTCCTTAAACATAGCAGTGAGACAACCACATTTGGCTGAAGAGGTGATGTGAAGTTTTGTTTCAGCAGCAGCAGGAACCCCTCCTAAGAAGGCCAGATGAGGAGCCCCAGACTCTGCTGCGCTATGGAGAAGGCTGCTAAGAAACTTTCTGTAGGCAGCGGCTTACTTTACTGTTCTCGTTGGCTTCAGTTGGAAAGCATACTTCTCATTTAGTTTCACTGTTGGAGGGTCTCACAGTCCACTCATACATTGAGACCATTAGAGTGAATTCTGTGGTATGCAGGTATGCTATACTGCCTGCATAGAAAGACCTAAAATACCAGGAGTTTAATGTCTGTTTTAGCAGATGAGCAAAAAAAAATTCCACTGTGAAAAACGTGAATGGTGGTGTGTTAAGGGAGTATAGCTCATCTCACTGGTGCAAACAGAATCCCTCTGAGAAGAGTATTCATAATGAGATTATAAATTTTAGTAAATTATTTGATGTCAGACAGGACCGGTATGATAATCTGTTCATAAACCTTGTGTAACACAGGGCAATGGAAGACACCAAATAAAATACATGTTCAAATGAACAGCAGTGAAATGCTTTTGAATAATTCCACCTTCTCTGTTTGTGCATATCCTCCCCCTTATTTTAATCTGTTAGATTTATGGATTATTTATTAAAATAATTTGTGCTGATTCTATAGCTTATGGTTCCTCAATTTTGTGTCACAAGATTTATTTGTATAGTGACAGCAGGAAAAAGTCAATATGGCTATAGGCATAAACTGGTAGGAATTCAGTTTTAGGTGCTTTGTCATTCCTGTTACAACTGGAGTCCTAGAAAATCAGCCTACGGCAGGGTCTGAGAGATGTTCCTGCCATATTCTTCTCCAGTGACACTCTGAAAACTCACCTGAAGACTTAACTCCTATCTATACTGTTACATATTTAGCCATTCTCTGTTTTCTAAGTAATGCTATTGTACCTACTCTTCACTAATCTTGTTCGGAGAGCATATGAATGTGAATCAAACCATTCTCTTTCCACTGAAAAAAAAAAAACCCAGCACCCATAAATAACACCACCACCAGCACCCTCAATGGGTTTTAGAAATTGTGGGCATTTGAGGAAGATGTCTCCAGTGCAGGAGAAGCTTGGGAGAAACACCAGAGGTGAGGTGTTATACTCCCCAGGTCCAAAACACTGGCTGCCCAGGGCAGGCACGGGGACGGGCTGTCACTTACATTGAAGAGGAGAGCAGGGACTGGTGTGTAGCACTTTATATGAATCAAGCTCAGACTGTCAGGGAGGTGTCCTTCCCTGGCTCCAACATAAAAAAGCCTGAAAAAAACAAAAAAGAAAACTCAATGAGACAGTGAGCCAAGGAACAGCTTGTTGCTTTCTGACAAAGGCAGCATTAATTCCTTTTTTACTCTATTGTAAATGCTGCTCTCTTCTCAAGTGGCTTTAGTTTATCAGTTGGTGTTGATCATGAGAAGACACGTCAGATAGTAACAATCCTTCCATCATAAATGAACAACTTGGCAAAAATTAACTATGTCACTTTTATAATACAGTAGTAAAGAATGCATATTTATAACAAATGATTCCTTTTCAATTATTTAGAATAAATCTTATATTTTATACCTAGACGCTGCAATTATTGATGAGTTTAAGCCACTATAGCAAGACATGGCCACTGCTATAGGAATTATCCACTTAGCATAACTAAGGGTTTCACCGCCAAACGTCTGTAACAGAAAAAGAAAATAATAGTGAGGCCCATTACATTAAGCATATGGACAATCCTGAGAACCTCTCATGAAAACACACCAGCCCAAATATAGTGTCATAGCCCATGCTTTCTTATGACATCCGATAATGGCTTGGGAAATTAGAATTTGGAAAAACTGATCCGTATCAAAACAAAAATCACAGATACATTAAAAAAAGCTTTAAAAACAAATTTCTAAGCCTAGATCAAGTCAATGAGATAATAGAAGAGGATGTATTGGCTTTAATGTATTCTGACAAATCCTGACTGTAGTAATCCATGAGTTATAATTGTACTTTCATATAAAATATTGATAAGGTTTTAAAAAGCATCTCACTGCACATTTTTGTGTTGAAAATATTGCTGTGATCCTGCAGCATTAAACATCACACACTGTACATTAGAATGACAGCAAAATCCCCTGGTTCTTAAACCACCCAGACTTTCCATAGCTCTTTCTCTGCCTGGCCCTGGCAAAAGCACCTTCTACAATGAAGTAGTGTTAGGAGCAGGATTTACAGAGTATATAAGAGAATTTTACAAGCACAGATTTATTGGATATATTCTTTATATGCACCTTCTAATATACTGGTACTCTTACATGAAAACAAAGTGTAAAACAAACCAACAATCTTCAGCATGGAAATATTTCAATTGTTTTGCCAAGAAGTATGCTACCTGAGATTCTTCTGCAGTGTCATCCATACAGTAACTTTTGGTTTAATTATTTTATACAACTTACCACAGCAACTGCATCACTTGTGAGGAGAGCTGACATGTCCAACACTACATAGTACGCTATATTAGTCAGCAAGTAAATACTAGTCACAATAGGCATTGAAATTGCAATAGAAAGAGGTAGATTCCTGCAAAAGGAAAATGGCAAAATTATTTCATGTTCTTTGAATAATGAATATTTAAATAGAAGATTGTTCCCAAATTCAAATATTTGTGAACGGATATCTCCATCACTTTTTGTAATCCATCATTTTGTAACCATGGGGTTACAAAATAACATGCAGCCATGTGTAGAACAATTCCATAAGCAGGTGGCTGCTTGTGGGTCTGTTACAAGTTTTAGAGAAAAAACGTACATTTATACCTGTCAATTTTATATACTGTCTTTTCTATGAAGCAATTTTAGAGAGCACTTAAGCAATGACATTTAAATGCACACTTAGGTGTTTTCGTGATCGTAGCATTTTTTTCCTGACTCATAACCTGTGTATGTCCCAAAACAAGGTAGACTCAGACTGAGTAGGTGAGGCACACCACTCCCACAGGGTGGATGTCCCTACAGAGGGGAGGAGATGATATTTCCACTGCTACTGTGCGCTTCTTTATTTTTTACTTAACCTTTCATGTTTAGTAAAGTTAAACATTTTTCCCATAAACAGTAGTGCTGAAGATCACATGATAAAAAAGTCATAAACCTGAAATAGTCTTACTCTACTGGTGGAAAATAAAATAACTGTTCTATCATCTGACTGAAAAGGAACAGGGAATTTTAGAGAGCTAGATGGACCTACGCTTTTCCCTGCATTCAGCAAGGATTTGTTCTCCTCCTTTATAAATTCTGGCCTAAAGCAGAAGGTTTAAAATACATATATGCAGACAAGTGATTTATTAGTGTGATACAATTGGTGAGAGAGGACAATAATCCGGAAGAGTTTGTATACTTACTACTTCTCTGGAAAAGAAGGTTTTTGCAGAAAAAATAGTTTCACTAATTTCCAATCAAAAACAAATACAGAGCAGCTTGTCCTGCCATCACCTGTCTTACAAGGACACTTCAGCGATTCAAAGGAAAAACACTCGTTTACCTCTCGGGGTTCTGCATTTCCTCGGTGACATAGTTGAGCGTGTCCCATCCCGAGTAGGAGAAGAGGGCAGAGTAGAGAGCCAGCGCGATCATCCCTGGGTTTGTCGCTGAGCCCTCGAACGGAGATCTCAGGTTTTCTGTTTCTCCTGTACAAATGGCAGGTACCAATTGCCTGTTACATTTCAAGGATTACAATGTAGAAGGACATTACACTAAAAGTCTCAGCTAACCAAAAGGAAAGAAAACCCCACTGCATCCAGGTTTCATTACTATTTCTAAAAGTGCACGGCTTATATTTTCACTTGACAAATAGAAAAGTTTCAGTTAGACATTCAGACAGCTACACTTGTACAGGGAGACAGCAGAAGATGTTTTCCCATGTTTGTTATTTGGATGTGACTTGTGTAATTCTACCAGAATTCAAGGCATCCTCGTCTCCTGGCATTGCCGTCTAGCCTGCCAAAGGAGTGAGCTGTACTGAGGTCATGCTATGCCCTGTCAGCCATCAGAGGCCGCTGGGAAACCCAATTTCAATTCCTGAATCTGTCTCATATTTCTTCCTCATATCTTTGCTTTCATTTTCACCAGATGAATTAGTGGCCAATGCAGGGGGAACTCCTAGAGGCATGGTTCTCAGTGGGATGCTCTGCCCCAGAAAGGTGTTCCCCAAAATTAAGAGAGGAGACTTGAAAAATCTTTCCTTTCAAAATTCTCCTCTAGTTTAGCTCAATCAGTTGAGAGATTGAAACCTGGAGAATGCTGCAAAATAGACAAAATGTTAACGAAACTGCGTGAGCCTTCACTGCAATTCTGGAAGGGGAAGAAGGGCCTTACTGAGTGTGCAGAAGGAAAGTCAACTATCTAATATAAATGGAAGTGGGTTTAAGTATTAAGGAAGACAGCAACATGCTGAAACCTCTATTAGGGAAGAAAGAAAGGTCTTTGTTATAAAATGAAAGAACTTAACTCTGTGGTTAAACTAACGAGTTTATAGATACCACAAAAGTAATTCAATCTTTGAAGAGCAGTAACTACCAGGAGACTATTTGAACGGAGGAGGGTGAAGCTACGGGATGTACACACACTTTGGGGAAGAAAATGGTTGGAAGAAAAAAAATGAAAAATCCAAAAGGACCAAGAAAAGCTTTTTTTACTAAAGACAGCTCATATTCAGAATCAGATGCATTCACAGCGTTTTAAAACAAGAGGTGTATCTGAGCACATCCGAAGGAATACAGCAGGGCTAAAATGTCATAACCATTCTTTTCGTTAAAACAGCTGCTGAGTTTAAAAGAGTGCATTGACCCATTCACAGCTTCCTCCAGAAGTCTACATCATTCCTCCTCCCAGTCCTTTCTGTATTTAAGTGCTTGGTTCTGCTTAAACAAATCAGAGATGAGACCTTTGCTACCAGTAAAAGACCTCAGCATTTTGAGTTCCTCACAATAATGTTTCCTCTCTGCCTTTACCCTTCCTGAGCCCTTGGAGCGATGCAAAGGACGCAGCATGGGTTATGTGGATGCATGAGCAGAAGGAATGGCCCCTGGGCCAAACCGCATTGTGGCAGCTGCATGCCAGTAAGCGGGCTGGGTGCTTTGAAGGAGTCAATTTGAAAGCATGGGTAAATTTGTGACTGTGGGGACAGGGCAAAGCTGCTATAGGGGTGACATCATGGGCTCACACCTTTGTAAAACTGCAGCAGCTTTATGAGGGGAACTACTACTTCATGTAACTGTGGCCCTTACGCAATGCTTTTCCTCTGCATCTTCACATTCCTGCCCTTAGGACTGGGTTTGTTTGTTCAGGTTTCTTTTGACTTGAACAAACCAGTGACAACTGACATGCACAGATAATGGCTAAACACAAAAGCTCTCTTAAAGTCTGGTGTAGCTTTACAGCATGGAGTTAGATGATCTTTAAGGTCCCTTCCAGCCCCAGCCATTCTATGATTCTATAACAGCTGATGCATTAGAACTGCAGCCAAGGAAAGGAGAAGGCCAGCAAACACAGAAAAGCAAGCATGCTA